GGGGTGCAGGGCCCGGTGAGGGGCCGCGGGGGCGGTGAGAGGCCGCAGGGCCAAAATGACACTTTTGCAGGGTCAAAATGACACTTTTGCAGGGTTCCAACAGAAACACCCCTTTATTGGAGCACCCCGCGCCGCAGGCCGAGGCCCCGCTCTCCTCCGCCCGTGCCCGGGGGATGTACACACACACACACCCGCCCCGGGCTGATTCTGACCCCTCTGTCGCGACAGACGATCGGCCGCCACTGTCCCACCCATCTGTGTGTGTGCCAGGAGCCCCCACAGCCGGACCTCCCCTCAGCGCCGGCCCAACGTGATCCACCCCCGGGACTGTCCCCGTCCCCCCGTCACTGCGGACATCTCTGCTCGTCTCCCTTCCAGCCTTCCCCTCCCGTGGTGTCCCGCAGGCAGCCCCGAGGCTCTCCTCTCCCGCAGGACTCGTGCCCGAGCTCCTCCGAGCAGCAGGCCCGGGAGCGCAGCAGTTCCCAGAGCTCGGAGGACAGGGCGGCTTTGCCCCTCACGTGCCCCTCAGCATCCCGGGCAGCAGCAGCCTCAGGCACAGATGAAGCTTTCAAAAGCAGCGTCAGCTCAGAGGTCTCTGGGTCCCGGAGCGCTTGTCCTGGGACAGGGGCTGCTCTCCTCCTGGGTCTCACAGCAGCATCCCGCACGTCACCACCTCCGCTGGCCCCTGCTGTGAGCAGGGCAGCCTGGATCCACCGGCTGGGCTGCTCGTTGTGCCCAGGGCCGAGCGAGGCCAGCAGTGGAAAGGGCGACAGCAGGGAGGTCCGGAGGGCTGTGAGCATCTGTAGGCAGCTCCTGCTCTTAGGGCAGCTCGTACTGAGATCTGAATCGTTTCCACAGGCGATGAGACATGACGCCACTCACGATCAGTCCCAACAGCGAGAACGTTGTCCCCACAGCAACGGCAGGGCCCGTGCTGACCGTATCTGCAAAGACACAAGAAGGATGTATGATTGCAGACTCTGCCGACGCCAGCAAATACCGAGGGGTGAGCATAACGTCCCCCAGCACTGAATGCGGCACCGACACAACTTGCTGCAGCGCAACCCCATGCAAGAGGGGGCTGCAGACCACCACTCACCATCCGAGACCATCAGCTGCAGACTGACCACCTGGGAGCTGTGGCCGAGCAGGGCGCACTGGTAGTGGCCCTGGTGCTGGGGCTCAGCATGGTCCAGCCGCAGCGTGGAGCTGCT